AGTAAATGTCACTGAACACAGACAATTAATACGAGTTGACAAGTTGACTCTAATTTTCACGGCTCAATGGATTTACTACTAGAAAATTTTAAATTAGTTCAAAAGGACTGCACAGCTATTGTCTTGCTTATTGTTAAATGACGCGTAAGATACAATGCTACCAATCAAGAACTAAATCATTCTTTTCATAGAAATAGTAGAAATATTGCAATACATCAAGTTAAGAACATTAATTGTAGCTATCATTTGTTACTATATTACTTGGTAAATGTACTGGAAAACAATTGTGAACCTGCTCAAATAACAATTAATTAATGCGACTACCATAGTGTCTCATATATAAGTTTTAAATAAAAAGTTGTACTTAGGTCTTGATCTTTCTACCACAATAGAAAACAGGGCCTTGGTACTTCGGAAAAAAACTTTGTTATAAAAAGAAATAAATCAGTGGGGCAACCTACAACCTTTTTATTATCATTATACTGACAAAAAATAATAGGCAGGCAGATGATCAGCCTCCAGTGCCTGACACACGCCGTCGACTTTTTGGGTTTAAGGCAAGCCTGACCATGTTTTTTTTCACCGTTAGAAAGTTAGAAAGAAAGTCCATTGGTGCACTGCTCGGGATCGAACCTACGACAGGGATGAGAGTCGCACGCAGTTTACCATTTGTAAAAAAACCTTCACATTGTTATGACTAAACAGAATAAAAATTATAACTCACTACTAGTTCTTGACACAGTTTTAATCAATAGATAATATTCGATGTTCTGCACAATGTCTCTGTCAAGGAATTTTTATAGTCTGTTGTCAGTGTTATTATTGGTTTTTAATCTATCGACCTAATTTTCAGCGTGACCAAGATCTGTTCTTACTATTTATTTACGATTACGCACTCATTTACAACGTACAAACAATATATCAAAAGTTAAAGGTTGAAGTCCAAGTTTAAATTTAAAGAACTAATAATTACGTTACGCCGCGGTGAATAATAAAAGGTTGGTTAATACAATGCCTTTTACTGGAAGATTATTTATTTACTAAATGTTAATAAACAATGTTTACATTAAGAAAATTAACTTTGTCTAATCTTAGTAAATAATAATAATGTTAATGACCTTAAACATCAATTACTAAAATAATTTTCACAACATCATAGATTAGAATTTGAACAGGCAATTGGTTTTTAATTGATGACCTACAATGATAAAGGTATCTAATATCTATGATGAAGGTATGTACTCTGAAAACGGAAAGACTTTATGTAATTTGGTTTATTAAAATGTAATATTTACCACAAAACTAACGAAGAATTGCGTATACCTGAGCATCTTCCTTTAAAAATTCAAAGAAAACTATTGTGAAGTAAATTCTGTCTAGAAAAATATAATTATTTTTTAGTATTGACCAAGGCTCATGGCAAGGTAAGGTTTATCCGTTTTCTAGGAATCAAGTTACCTTTACTGACTTTAATCTTAATTAAACAAAATAATTCATTACTTTTAAATGCAATAAAATTTCCAAATAATCTGACCAGTTAAATAGGCAATATGAAAGATTTGAAAAAATTCAATAAATACAGTTTATACTGTGTATAAAGTAAATGATAAAAATTACAATTACACGGTGGCTAATAAAATGTCAATTACTTCGCCTGTTTATAATGCTTTATGAAAATGTGGAATTTTTCCCACACGTCACGGTCAGACATTACTTTTACTCTATACCTAAAGTGACCAGGCCAACAGCGTTTTTCATAGATAATAATGTAAATCCTCTTTGGTTTAAACAAGAATGAATGACGCCATATCAAGATGGCGGTTTCTTCCATAATGAATAGATTCACGTAATTGATTTTAAATTAAAATAATTTCCTTGAATAACACAATTTGTGTAAATTTAAATCATATTTTTTTTTAATTACAATTCGTTGACACAACCGGATTCCAAAAGGCACATTTTAATTCTTATTTGACAGAAGATTTGTAGCCTTGTTTTGTACTCTCAAACAGAGGTGTTCTAAGTAATTCTTATTATAGAGATATATTAGAGAACATATATTAATTTCGAAAATATAAATGTAGATCACCTAAGCTTAGCTTTTAAGGCAGTGTAGCAAGTTATAGTTTTTTTTATTGTTATAGTGCGATTTATTTACATACTACATTTTTCTGGCTGTCATAATCTAGACTTCCGGGTGATAGATTTCGACAACTGACAAAGTCCTTCCCGCTAACTTCATCCTATTTTAGTGCCGCCGATCATTATAAGGCAATACAAGAAACTACATATTTTCAACTTCCGTGTGTTTTAGACATTAATCATAAGTTCTTTTCCATAGTTGAAAGATTAGATATTAAATACGACGTTATCGAGAACTGACCGGTGAATACAAGAATTTTACTGTCATTGATAATAAAAATGTATGTAACGTTTGAGTATGTACACAGTTATATGACTGCAGTAGGAATAATAAACATCTTCTTAAGGTAAATTCATTAAAATTTATCACTTGTATACAAATATAATTAATATTACGAATATATACCATGCGCTGACCAAATGAGCAATTGATAGTGGGCGGATTTTTACTGCGATCTAAATACGTGCAACTTAAAACCCGGAATTGATTTAATGCAGTGATAATTATTTATAAGAGAACAGAACTATTAGTATAAATTAACTTAACCGTGTCCTAACTCTACCTTTGTTAACATAAATGATTTCTTTGTACAAATATATAATAACTTCTCAAAACATATTTAAATCGTTGATAAGATTACATGTTTTTATTATTCTCTTGGTCATTACCGCTGGTAACAGATAGTACTACAATACAGCTACAATTGAAAACTAGTATCTAGGGTCAATTCATGACTCACTACCATGTGGAAACTTTATCAAAGTTCAAAGACCGCGTAGAAAGCGGGCATTTATATATTATGTCACAAGAACTATTTATAGGGTCTAAACGTTTAATGATAAAATGAAATCACTGGCGCTACAACATTTTTAGATCTGGGCCTCAAATTTCTGTATCTGTTTCATGGTCACTTATCATTAAGTAGGTGATCACTTAACCTCCGGTGCCTGACACACGCCGTCGACTTTTTGGGTCTAAGGCAAGCCGGTTTCTTCACGATGTTTTCCTTTACCATTCGAGAACGCACACATAGAAAGAAAATCCATTAGTGAACAGCCGGCAATCAAACCTACGATCTCAGGGATGAGAGTTCCACGCTGAAGCCACTAGGCCAACACTGCTCTATGTTTAAATAATAACAAGAGAAAAATATCGAAAATATGAATCATCGCAGAACCATCCGTCAAAAACATTAATAGTGGATGACGCGGACTGTGCCGATGTTGCTTTTTGACCACCTTAACGACGAAGTTCATCTTTCATATAGGATTATTTTAATTTCAACAGCTAAGCTAAAATAATAAACATATATTTAAACTTCTATTTTGATTAATTATTCCATCAATTGTCTAAAGATTTGATGAGTCCAAAACGGTATAATCTATATTACTTTTATTTATCATATAAATTATAAGTTTTTACTAATCCGCTTATCTCTAAATAATCTAAAGAATTTCAAACTCAAGTAGCTTGAAAGCGATAATTTCTTGTCAGTTCATAATGATTTTCCTTTGTATTTAATTGCTCAGGTATTTCCCTTTCTTACTTAACTACCAAAAATCATATGATATTTTATATTACTAATATAATTCAGCTATGTCAAATAAGTAATATGTCAATACTAAAAGAAGTCTTAATATAAAAAGAAACAGTTTGTCTTGATTAACAAGTTTTGATTGAATTGAATGTTTTAACCGATTTCGATATTTTTTTGCTAATGATATAAAAATGTATAATTTAATCCTGAGTGACAATGGGAACAGTGACATTTGATTTAGTTTAATATTTTAATTGTATCCATGCAAACGCGTAAGGTAAATATATATTATTGCATAATACACTTAAAGCAAAAAATAGCCAGTTAGACGAAATAAGCGCGCCCATTTGTAAATTACGAGACTACATACATCAATTACAAAATTTCTACAAAAATTAACGTTCAGTATTTGCCCAATATATTTGCAATAAAGATAGCATTGACTTAAACAGTGTACCTACATTGTACTATAGTTACAACACTGCATTGTATTATACGGTCGGCTTACTGATAATTTTGTATAAATTTCATCGCTATAATTAAGAAATGTTTTTTTCAGTATTAAACAATGAAGATAAAACTAAAATTATGTGAAGACTTGTTCAGAGTTTTCTATATTCTTAATTTTATGACATAAAAAGTCGAGGTGTTTTGTGATAATGATTTTAATGTATATAATAGTTTAAAATACTTATAGTGTTAATGGTTATATCTTGGAGCCATAAACATTTCAACTTGCGTTACCTACCGGAGTTATAAACCTTGATCGCTTTTCGCAGTTAATACTCGAACTCGTAATTAGGTTAATTTATTTGAGAATATCAATGACTAGTTACATACGAGTATAGTAGTCAATAGGAAAGTGATATAAAAAACACAGAAAGTCAACAATGCTTAAATATTTCATTTAGCATTTATCATTATCTAATATGTATAAATATAAAATAATAAAGTAACCAATTTTCATAAATAAATTTTGTATTCACAATATATTTGCGTGATTGAATGAAATTACAGTTCCGGGAAAGTAATCAGGGAAAAGTGTGAAAAGTAACATGTATGAAGAACGTTTGGAAGATTTTTTATCAATCTAAATTAGTTACATCTTGTTTTTAATTCACGTACCTATTTTACGCATTTTAAACTAATTACGTTTTCCTTATGAATTATAAAAAACATTTTATTATTAATTTATCTTCACAATAAAGTATTATTTCCAGCTATTTCGCATGAGTTAACCGCACTTTTTCTTTTTAACTGTCGATGAATTTTACTTTTTAACATCAAAGTAGGTTTTAGTGCTTATCCGCGATGACCTTCTCAGTGTTGAAACACGAAATACATTGCAGCATTTGAATGTTTTGTCTTTTTAAAGTTACTCAGGTTGCTGTCTTTGTTATCGATAGGCTGTCTCCAGGTAGATACATATCTAATAATAATACCGGGTTTGGCAAAGCCCCAACTGTAGCTAAGTTTGTCAAAAAATTTAAATAGATTTGAGTTAATGTACGCAATTTGTAAATAAAATCGCGTCAGACAGCTTGTATTTTGAAAGTGAAACAAATTTAAGAAAGTTTGACATTATCTGAAATAACGTATTTAGTTTAGAGGGTAATGTTTATACTTTAGAATTAAGATTTTAATTTAATACTGACATGTTAGGGCCTTTTTAGCGTGGGAACTACGAGGGTAAGTAACCGAGTGCATTTTAGAAACCAGTCAGCCTTGAATAAAATCCTGTAATATAGAAATGGTAAGCTTACCGATTTGAAATCGTCCTCAATCCTGGTCGTCGACAGAAAACCAACAGGGACAGCGAGTTGCCTGCGGTTGAAACCAAAAACAGTGCGAGGAGAAACACCTCCTCAACCAGCTGGTGGTTCGTTTCCATTCCCTCAGTCAACGCTCGTCTACTAGACAAGAGTTTAAATTGTTCCATATATTCATCACTAACACTGACACGCAACACTCTCAGTTTAACTGCAGTAATCGCGCTAAGTTTTGAGAACACGCTAAGCCGTTTGGCAGCGTCTTTCTCGTATCGCTGTCCGTTGACAACTGAACTAAACGGCAACGGGCAAATGCTGCCAGTATTACCGACTCTTCCATGAGTTGTTATGCCGCTCAAGCCGAAAAAGCGCTTAATTCAACCGGTCTGCTCTACATTATACTATTATTTTTTTACTCTTTCACCGAAAGAAATTGTCTATTGGCAGGCTTATCTCATATCTCCTGAGGTATAATATATATAATAGCTCTACCACAGTTAGTTTAATATATATATTTATACCAATAGAATTCGGAATGACTTCAATACTTTTATATTTAACGCTATTCTGAATACACACTTAATTATAGTAAGTACTTTATTAAGTTCAAATTATTGAGAGTACCTACCATGGTTATTGCTCTACATCTAATATTTGTATATTTTCAGGAATGGGGATAAATTTTTTTGCCAATGTGCTTATTCAATTAATTGTTAAGTTAAAAAATCTTAATTATTATACATATATACATTTTATAATCATGACTCATGAACGTAAACCTATGATGTAACAATAAAAACCTCCTGCGGGTTTTTGCGAGAAGGTACCGGTTAAATGCACAAATGATTTAGGTAGATAATACATATTATTTATGTCTATTAATTGCTGTACCTATAACATTCTACTAGCCTACTGCAACAAAAGTTTATTCATTTAATGCATAATTGTTTATTATTTTATTACGCCTAGCTTTATGACAATAATTCAAACAATGATACACTCTTACATACTTTATTCATTGAATGCATTAAATATTCAACAAGTTAAAGCGCTGTAGCGCTCACGATTCAGCACACATTAAACCAGTTAGTATGCAGCGTTGCTGAAGCGCTATATTGGGTATTATTCCGGTAAAGAAACCCAAAGCCTCATGCCACTTGTGGATTACAAACATGCATTCCGTAAGATCCAAGTCATTCGAACCGTTAAAATTTAAAAATAAAACAACCCTTTGACCTGAATCTACTTTTAAAACTACAATGTTTATTATGAGAGTTATCTAATGGTAAACGTGTTATAAATCGCTTTGTAATTACAGTTATATTTTGCTGATTTGTGTTATTATTATTTTTATTTAATTATTTCATTTGTATTTTTACAGCCTATTGAAATGGTATATTACACATTACAATTATTACAAAATATATAAGAATAGGTACACATTTAGAAAGTATACATAACCACAGATAACAGTATATTTTAGATTTTTCTTCTTCTTAAGAATTTTTTAAACCTTGATCTGAGTTCTTCTCCAAGATTCATAGCCTAAATTTAAATAATAAGATAAGAGAGATGTAGGATCTTTAAGGAGAAGCCTTATTATTTATACGGTCGGTTTCTATATTCAATAGTATTCACCGAACCTTCCTGTTTTATGTTATAGTTTCTATCTTTGTTCGAAGACTTAACATGAATTTGCAAATCCTATTGATATAGAATTTGTAAGTACAGCCGAGACCCTTTCGCGCTTTCATAAATTTTGTTAAATTTTATAACTTATTTGTTTCTAATTCTAGGTAGCCATGATAAAACTTAAACAATCAAAGGATTATGTTTTTCTAAACATTAGTTAATGGCACCCATTAGTTACGTTTAGGTGTATGTTTTTAAAAGTTTCCTTATCGTTATTATCGTGAACCATTAAGTAATAAATCAATAGTCAATACTAATATTTTAAGTATTTTTTGAGTTAAAAGGTAATGTTTTCGTGACTCGACCATGACCCTTATCACTACGGAGACTTACCATGTACACTGGAGATATTATACAGCTTAGGGCACTCTCTATTATTCTTCTTAAAGATAATCTTGCTGTTCCCTCTGCCAGAACCAGCTTCATGTTAGGATGTTGAATTATTATGATTTTTTTCTTAGAACAATGGAAATTGCATAATAATACGATAACCAACTGTAATATTATACAATTAATTACAAAATAAATGTGCGTCAATTGTTACTATAACTTTAAAGTTGACTTGGAATTTATATTTATTATTAAACTGTCCCAATTGGTTGGTCAATTAATTAGTTGTTGAACTCTTATAATTTTATGCGGCCAATGTGATACTTTTAAGATTATTTTATAAAGAAATACTTAGCTTAAATTAAAATAATAATAGCTAAGTATTGCTATAGATATAATTAATAGGGAATCAAGCTCGTGTAGGTGGTAAATTTATCATTTCCACTATTTCCGTGGAAACGGTTCCTTGTCTCTTTAGTCTTGGACAATATCCAAAATTGATTGTACACGTTTATTAAAGTGAATGAAATGCTAATAGTTGTTATTTTCGAACAAAATATTATCTGAATTCAGACTTCAATACGGTTTAAGCCGTTGCCATTTGCCATTTTTATTAAATTTTTAGGTACCTTTGATTTAGTAATTAGGTAAGTGCTTGTAATTGTACGTATTCATTTACACAATACATTTACTTACTAAACAATTGATAAGCTTTTTTAGAATGTTGTGTTAATCTGTTATTTTAGTTTCTACGATTGCATAGCAACGCCCTTCACACAGTACGATGGATTAAATTGCATGTTTGAATGTCTGGCACGTGGTGAATACAATTAACTAAGGTTTTCCATATATATGTAGAGTTGAATATTTTATCAATAATAACTTACTTGACTATCGTTTACCCGTGTGGCTTCGATCTTATGGTAGACAATCGTAAAGATAAAGCGTACAGGTTCAGAGGTGGACAGTTCATTAGATTTTTGAAGTGAAACTTTTTTAGGCGCTTGAGGGTAATTTTTTTACGGAATGTCGAAGAAAAGGGAGAGCCATTGAGACCGATTGAGCTCTCTCTCTTTAGAGAGTGAGATGGGTGAATTACCTTATAGAAATTCTAAAATTTAAATTTATGAAATATTAGTATATTTTATGCAAAATAATTTATTGAAATCTGAAATGACGAATTGTAAATTAAAATGCCACGTGTTTTTATTATCGAAGAAATAAATTTAAAAAATTAAATTTATTATTTGTATTAATTTTCGACACTTAATATTTTAATGTTAATTAAATTCATTAAATTCCTAACATATATTCCTTTTTCCCTCCCTCTAAGTCTTGGAAATCTAAAGTTTTAGATTTGTATAAATATGAACAAGACTTAAAAATTAGTTTGCCAAAGAAGTTTCACTTCTGTACTGTGTCCTTTGTACGCTCGCACTTTTTTTTATGTTCATTAAGTACCAATGCTGGACTGGGCAAGTTATAAGAAGTAGTTAGGAGAAATCTGATAGAATGGTGTCCACGTTACTGAAAGCTTTACAGCCTGGCCACGGGACATTCGCTGACGCGAATATTCGCGCGGTGCGAACCGCGATGCGTCTAGCGACTGAAATAAACTCATAGCAATGTACTTATCAAGCCACGCGCAATGGCGACCAGCGATGCGACCGGCGAAATGTACCGAGCGAATCGCGCGGGCGACTGACGTCGCGACGGGCGAGCGAAACAAATGCATGAATCAGTACGGTGCAAGCCACGGAGTCGAGCGGCAGTCGCGGCGAATAGAGAAGGGAATAAATAAGTTTAGTCGTGGTCGCGGCGAAAAATGAATACAGAGTTTTTTGTTACTGAAATACTGGCTAGACCAGCTATTTGGAAGTCTGGCCATCCACAGCATTAATTTAATATACCTTAATCTCAAAAACAATTTTTCAGCGGCACTTAAAATTCTATTTGCATTAACTTTTTTCTCCAATTCTGGTTGAATATTCATAAGAATATAATTGAAGGTTTCAATACTCATTCTGGTATACTCAAAAAAATAATTCTGGATATATTCTGAATTTCTCATACTTCTTGTGGAATTCTCCACAATTTCTCCAAATATTAGGTCTTGCACCAAAATCTATTACTTTCCAAGCAATATCGAGATGATTTCGATAAAGACATTTCGCTGTCGAACTTCCTTACTGGTCGCGGCGGCAAACGTGACTGGTCCGTGGCCTGCAAACGGCCCCGCGCGAATGGTCGCCTCGCCTCCCGCATCGCAGTTCGCACCGCCGATCCCCGTGGCCAGGCCGTTAAAAGGAACTTTATGGCGGTTTGTCGCCAATGACAGCGAATGGAGAAGAGTAGGGCCTTTTCCACTTGGCAAGCGGATGGCTGCTAGCTACAATATCATTACAATAAGACCTATTGTAAATACTCTATCATCTGAATAAAAGGTGCGAGTGATTGATTTGACTTTATCTTTTTCTAGTACACGCTAACATTTCTAGTTTCTACAATACCGCACTATAATTGTGATTATAGCGGCTTGGCTTCACATATTTAAGTAGAATTTTTAAAATCCACTATAGCAATTCTGTCTTTCTCTCCAAAGATGTGCATCATTAGTTTGTCTTTGTGTAGAATGGCGCTTAGATTACATTAGTAATTTTATTATTTTTATTTTGTGGTTGCTTGTTATGATTTTCTAATATAATTGATGTGTGTAAAATAAGTAATGTCATATTTTCTTGTATAATTTTACGCATAGAACTTATAAATAAAATTATATCTTAAAAGGCCGAACCTTATTTAACGACCCCGTGTCATAATATTTCTTTGTAGGTTCAATAAGAAACCTTTAGAATATTATAAGAAGCTTCTATACAATATTAGTCGTACATATATTCTGACATAATACACAGTACATATACAGTACAAGTATTCTGACATAATTTATTTACAATAAGAAGAATTCTCAGAGGTGTTTCGTATATATTATCTCTGACTATTCAAAAACTTTGGTTGGCTATTTTATGAACTCATTCAACGATTTGGCCATTAGACGGGATCTTTTGAAACCCTCCATAATCCCCAAATTTACTAATGAGTTGCAGTTGTCTTTATGTTTTGCATATCTTGTTTGTTATTTCCCAATGCC